CCACAAACACTCAACCAAATCCATTTCCTTTAGAGAGCTTGCTTAGGCTCAACTCCAATGTGAAAGGCAGGGAATTCCTCTACAGGAGGAATTATACCCACAATGAAGGATCCTAATTAAGCAAAGGAGTATTTGAAAGGGAACTAATCCTAGGGAAAGATCATCACCTACTTGAATTGCTAAAGAACATCCAATGTTATCTCCTAATGATCATCTATTCTAAGGTCAATTTGTAAAATAGGGAAATAAGGGAAAATCAATCCTAAAAAATCTAAGGAAAATACTACATCATCCTATATGTGTCAACATTCTATGGTAGAAAAATCAGAAGCTAAATCTGAATCAAAATGCCCAAATTAAATCCAAAACTTCAAGGGTGCACTAAAGGAATCATTAAAGAGTACTCCTAAACAACTACCCTAAAATCCTATTTAAAATGATCTAAAAAATCCAACAAAATCACATAGCAACATCAATATGTAAACAGCCAACACACAAAATTCCAAGATCATACTCCAAAATATGAGAGAGAGAAAGAAAATCAACAAATTCAGCACAACATTATTTCATTATTAAAAGTGCACTAAAAAGAAAATATGAAACAAAATGGATAATGCATGGAAAACTAAAATGAAAAGCATGATAAAATCCTAAACATCTCAATCTACAATCACAAATTTTTCCAGAATTTATTTGCAACATTCACTATTTTTTGATGATTAAATTCTAACAAGCATTAAACAAAAAATGAAGAAAAGAAATTAAAAAACAAGAAATAAAGGAATTAACAGGGGAGGGGTTCCAACAGCAAGGAAAACAAGGCTATTTGCGCCTGGGCCCAGGACTGAGGGGTGTGAAAAGCACAGGGGGCTGGGCCCAATTGAGAGTATTAATTCAACAAAAAAAACCTCTTATTAAAACGTCCAGGGGGGTGTAAAAGTAGGAAATTCACGTGTTAATTCTGTTTGGGCTTACAAAGAGGAGGTGTGAAAAGCGCCTACAGCCAAGGCCCATCACAATAAAATAATTCCATTCAGTTCTCTCAATTAAAAGAAAAATGCTCACGCAGGGAATCGAACTCGCATCCCTTATGTCAATACAGCGCGCAGCATAAAGCTTGGGATTCACTAACCTAAACGCCTGCGTTTTGGAAGGGGATTACGTGGCGCACTTTGAGCGCTCAGATATGTGGACTTGGCCTTACTTCTCTCCACGTGTGGACGGCGAGGATTATGTCTTCCTCATTTCAAATTCCCAGCAACCAGCAAACACGCGCGCAACACCATGGCGTCGACGGTAACTTCTCCGGCGAACTTCACGTAACCCTATCTCCCTCAATACTTCACCAAACGCAACGATTTTTGAACGAAAATTGTACGAAATTTTACGAGGATTACAAATATCCTAATAGATTACACTAAAACCTCAAGAATCAAGAATTCTACATCCTAACCGAAAACGGATCCATTCTTACATTGTCACTAATCCTCAAATTCTCTGCCCAGAAATCATCTATGACCTAAGGGAAACCTAACCACATGATTCTAAGGCATTAAAAACGCATGAATTGAGTGCAATTTCAAGAAGTAAAAACCTGGTTTCAAGCTTCAATTTGAGGTGTTTCTGGCTTGATTCTTGCTCCAAAATGTTCCAGATCCATTCAGTGATGATGTTAGAAGAAGATTGAAGCTTCAATTGCACTTGAAATGGCCTCAATCAGAAATTCGATCTTTCACTTTTCTTCTTCAAACTCCAATGGCAATCTATGATCTCATCCCCAATCAATCACCAACCCTTGCCCAATCTCACTTCTGATCATTTATAGAACACCATGGAACCTTCTAGAGGTTCAGCCCAGGCCCAATTTGGAAGATCCAAAAATAAAAAAACTCTCAAAAATTCAATATGGCCATGCACGAATTTGGCTTCATAGCTTGCATTGGAAGCTTTGGATGACTTTCATATCCCATTTAGAATGGATTCAGACTAAAAGGAGTCTCCAAATTGCCTTTGTGAAGGAATTGTGTGATGTTACTTATTTGTGAAGAAAAGTGTTAAAAGCTCATGAAACATAGGTCAAAACAAAATTCTAAAATTGCCAATCTTCTCAAAAAATAATTTTTGATTAAAATGAGTGGTCATTTGACTTGTTTTGGACCCATAATCAATTATTTGGATTTCCCACCAAAAATGCCTTTGAATTTCTTCTTTCTTCAAACCACTTCACACCAATCTTTGATATGAGCCAAACTAATTCACCATGAGTTCTTGGTTAGTATAAAAACCACATTTTAAACAAGTTCCATGTTGAACAAAAATCCATTTGACATGTGCAAGTTAGAGATTTTGACTTATGATTGAAAATGGCCTATAATCTCACTTTCCCAAAATACCCCTAACTTGTAAACCTCACAACATGAGTTCTACAAATCAGATGGAAGACTTATAATACAATTTGGAAAGCTAAGATCATGAGGAACAACTTTCATGTTGGCCAAAAGTTCAAGAGAAACACCCTTCTAGGTCAAAAATAGCTTGGAAGTCAGATGATTTTCACAGACAAATTTTAGAGGCATCTGAGGACCTGTAACTTGTCTGGACCATAACTTGAGTTCTATAAATCCAATGGAGTACTTCTAGTACTCAAATTAAAGCTAAGATCATGATCTAAGAGTTTCATGTTAGCCAAAAATGGAGATGAAACTTTCATTTTTACTTACATGGCTTGGAAGTTTGGCACTAAACAGGGGATTTTACCCTAGGAACCCTGACATAGCAACTCCAACCACTCTTGATTCTTCTCAACTTGATCTTGAAACAACCTCTCATATGCCTAAACATATCCTTTCATGATCTCAATTACCTAGAAGTAGGCTTTGATCTTCTTCAATTGCTCATTTTAACCTAGGATTAACCAGATGAAACCCTAGTTGCATCCACTTCAACTGTGGCTCTTGCACTTGATAAAAATGACTTGATTGAGCTCTAACATGACCTTCAAGGCACTTCAATGAGCTTTACCCACACATCATATCCACATCCAAGGCTCCACAACCTCTGATACTCTTCAAATGGCTCCTCATGCCAGGAGATATACCCCATACAAGCAACTGAACCTCTTAAGAACCCATCCCCCTGACTGATGATTATGATGGCTTCTCAAACTTGCATAAGACCTCTGGCTAGGCTTCTTTTGACATATATTACACTTGATCCCCTGCTAAATTCTAATGTAATGATATGCAAATGCTAGAACTATGTTAGAACAATGTTATGTTATGCAATGAAACATAAACCAGGTGAGAGAAGGTTAGGCAAATTTTGGGGTGCAACACATACCTACAGAAGATTCTCGAAAAGTTTAGTATATAGAATTCAAAGCCTGTTGTGACTCCGACAAACCCTCAATTCAAGCTGATTATAGATCAGTGTCTCAGTACTGATGTCGAAAGAGCTTATATAAATAGCACTCCATATGCTAATAAAATGGGTTTTTTGATGTATGTTATGGTATGTAGTAGACCCGACATAACATATGCAGTAAGTATTGTAAGCAGGTACATGGAGAATTTAGGAAAGGCTCACTGGCAAGCATTGAAGTGGATTCTAAGGTACATAAATGGGTCTCTGAATAGAGTCCTAAATTATGGCGGGGCCTTGGGTAAAGATAGTAAAGCAGCAATCGAAGGATATGTCGACTCAGATTATGCAGGTTGTATGGATTCCAAAAAATCTATTTATGGATATGCGTTCATTATGTTTAGCACAACAATAAATTGGAAAACAACACTTCAGAAGGTTGTTGCCTTATCAACCACTGAAGCGGAATATATCTCCCTAACTGAAGTTGTGAAGGAAGCATTGTGGCTTGAAGGTTTTATAAAGGAGCTGACACTTCAAGGTCGAGTTGTCACTATTAAATATAATGTCAAAGTACAATACACTTGTCAAAGAATTCATTCTATCATGAGAAAATAAAGCACATTGATGTGAGACTATATTTTGTCAGAGGGGTAATCGAGCGTGAAGAAGTCCAATTGCTAAAGGTTTTGACAGATCATAATGCTGCTGATATAATCACCAAGACGTTACTCAGTTGCAAGTTTTTCTATTGTATGCAGTTGATAAAGCTGCATGAAGAAAGCTAGTTTGTTTCTTGATGGTAGAGTTAGATCCAAGGTGGAGATCTGTGAGATATTGGATCGAACTCTAGTTAGCATGCCGTCGAAGTTTTCTCACATGATGTTGTCGAAGACCTACATGCTCTAGTTAAATAGCGTTCTAGTATGTAGTTGTCGAATTGGGCCTTGTGTTAAAGATCCAATTGTTTAAGTTAGTTTGTACCCTAAGTTAACTTGTAATGGATAATTGTTAAAAAGCCCATTAGTTTAGTATGTCAGATTTTATTATAAATAGCATATTAGTCTCTCATCTTAAGTGTGATGTGACAAAACCTTATTAGTGTGAGAGAGTTATTTGTTATTCTTGAGTACTGGTAATTTGTTTTATAGAGAAAGTAAAGAATAACAGTTATAACAAATCCTTGTTTTTTCTTAACCCTAACCCTTGTATGTTTCTTGACCATAAAGAAAGTATATTTTATTTTAAGACATCCTAATTCACATCAATATATATATATATATATATATATATATATATATATATATATATATATATATATATATATATATATATATATATATGTGTTTTTTTTCCTTCTATTTTCTCTATATTAGTAATTATTCCTATAACATATTTTTTGTTAACAGAATTATTTTATTATAATACATAATTTTTGTATTATTTTCATTTTATTAATTAACTTTTTTGCAAGTATTTCATTACATGTAAAGCAAGAGAAAAACGATGAAAGTAAAGCCTTGTCTAAAAGGAGATAGACCATACTAATAGAGGATCAATATATATAATTCTATATTATTTTTTTAATATAAAAATGGCCACCTTTATAATTCTATAATTCTATATTATTCATAAAATTCTCAAGGACATTTCACATTTCTTCCAGGTCCACCATAGTAAAAGTAATTCCCCCACCCATTATTAGTCCCTGGTTGAATGTTATAACAATTTGGGTGATCAGCTACAACCTTAAGATTTGGTAAAGGAATCAAGCTATTATCAGAATCCACAACTTGCATATTTCTAAAATATGAAGCTTTTGCAAAACCCTCTTCTGCAAAATGTCCACTACCCATTTGAGTGGAAGTGTGAGACCCTGATGACATTGAATTCACTATTTCTCCACCAAATTGAACCATAGTTGCATGATCCTTTAAGTGTGTGAATAAAGTGGATGGCCAATATCCAATTAGTTCTCCTGATCCATATTCAAGCCACCAATTCCCATGCTTTGGATCCTACATAAGTGATCTATGAAGTAAATATATTGAACAAAACACCGATACTGATCTGTAAATTTTGATAAATAATTTTTAAAAAATAAAAATAATTAAAAAAAATCTGAATAATAATATAAATATCATATAAAAATCGAAAACTAACAATTTTGTGACAAAACTCTGACGAAGAGTTTTCCCCCTCGAATTTTCATGTGTTGCTCGAAACTTTTATGTTTTAAATGAAAATAAATTTATTCTAAAGTGTTAGTGTAAATCTCGTTGACACATTTTAATTTGTTATGTGACAAAGTTAAACTTCTCAAACATAGACATAATCATTAAGAGGAAAATGATGTTTTCAAATTTTCATAAAGAATAATACAGAAAAAAAAAATGAAAAAGAGAGAAAATTAAAATATGATAAATGTTGAATGATGTGTTGAGAAAAATAATCTTAAAAAAAAAAGATAAAGCATAAGAGAGTTATTCATTATTAAATTCACAAAGTGCACGCGTGTAATAATGTACAAAAGTAGTAAAGTTAATAATTGTGGTACCTAAATTCACTAGCATTAGAACACTAGAAAATTTGGTTGATTATATTGTTTTTCTTCTGTGTGTTATTCATCTTTCTTTTTTCAAAAGAAATTATTATGTTGTGAAAATGTTATCATAACCCTACCCTTGCTTCTAACATAATTCTACATAATATCAAAATTTTGAAAGCATATAAACTATTTATATACTCTCTCTTGTCTCTAATGTAAGTAAAAAATCATTTTCCTTGGAGGGTTTGACTCATTTATTTTAATACTCTCTCTTGTCTCTAATGTAAGTAAAAAAAATATTTTATATAGATTAAATATATTAATTATATAATAAATAAAAAATATTCACATTTAAATTATTATATTTTGGTCTTTATTTTCACTTGTTCAAAAATTATTATTTTCATTTTAAATATTCTTTTATTCCTTATTTATTTTTATAAATTTAAATTGTTGATATGACATGATATTTAACGATATAAAATTATCAAAAATATTAAAATTATTATCTAAAAAATAAATTTCAAATTTATTAAATTTTATAATTTAATTAGTAATACATAAATAATTATATTATCAAAATAATTTTACATCAACATATCATTTATTATATCATCAATTTCAAATATAGTAATTTGACCCAATATTAAAAAAAAGTGAATGAATAATAATAGATTGACCAAAACAATATCTAAGTCTAAAAAAATTAATCTCAATTTGCAGAAAATTACCTTCCAAATCATTAAGCTAATATCAAATTGGCCTCCATTATAGGTAGAAGTTGGAGAAATTGCAGCTCCAATTGCAAATTTACTACTAGTTTGAACAAAGCCAGAGCAAAGTAAATTGTAGCACCCAGTTCCTTGATAGCCATCACTCTGCAATTATTACTTCTATCATCTTTTAATTTCAATAATTTTTTTATTAATGAATATCTTGCACATGAAGCTAGCAAAAATTAGTACTTTTCCACATCCTTTTCTTGAATAATTTTACTTACCGTCCAATAAGTAAAGAATCTAGGGTAGTTGTCCCCATAAAGCTCTGGACTGACCTGCATAAAAATTACTTAGATTTAGCGTCTTTGCTTAAATAAAGAAATATTGATGTAAATAATAGGTAGGTTGTTAACTTGCTAATAGCCTTTTCAATACTAAACCTAATTGAATGTTTTGAATGCTAATGAACTTTTCCTAGATTGACTTTTGTACTATTTTATAGTTGGAATTTTATCATTTCTTTATTTATATATTATTTTCTAATGATAAGTTAAAGTACTCATTAGAGTCTTAAATATCAATATGCATTATTATTTTTTCAAATAAACTCTTATTTAATTTGAAGTGTAAAAATTTGAGATGTTTTTATACATATACAAAGTATTTTTTTTTAGTAGCCATCTGTTTTTTTATTTATAATTTAGATGTTTTTTTTATGTGCAACTGCTTCGATTAATTTTTCTATTTCATTCTTTGAAATATTTATTTATAGTTAAAATAAATATATTAAATATATATTTTTATTAAAAGTAAAGTAAATTAGATATATAAATTTAGGAAAAAAGAATAAAAGAAGAAACAAATATGGAGAATGAGTCGTGCTTTAAGATAGACAAAAACACGACTGAACAAATGTCGAGGATACAAAGGGTAGCTGGCAACACCAACACATAAGACAAAAACAAGTCTACACAAGAACTAAAACGACACGCCATCAGAGACAACAAAAAGTAATTTTGACCACTTGCAGAAAACAAAAAAGGGTGTGTAGCCACCCACCCAGCACACCCTTAAAAGCAAATGCATCATTGCGGGTCATTCTCCCAATCAAGCAAAGAGAAGACATAAATAAAAGGATGAGAATTGACTCACTTCTAAGTCAAACCAATTACTGAGTTGCCGAATCATTAACTTAGAAACTTTCCTAACAAAAAATAATTTTGATATAAATTTTCTAAATAATCTATATCAATGAATGATAGTCCGAAACTAAGACTAGACACATTTTCTTACCCTTAACAATCTCCTAAAAACCTCAAAAAGCTCTAAAATCTAGCACGAAATAGATAAAGGCATTCTCACCCAACTGAAAAACTCATACCAGATCAAAGAGGCAACCTCACAAAAGACAAACAAATGATTTATAGATTCGATCTTCCCTAAATACACTGCACAAACCAATCCGCTATTTGTAAACTCAATTTAGTGCTTAAAAAGATGTTGCTTAGTCAAAAATATATGTTAAAACAATGTCTAGCTAAGAAAAAAGCACCACTTTAAAAGACACGCAACTCTTCCAAACCATAGTCAGACTCTAGATCACCTGATCACACCTAGCAACACCTATCACCTAGGAAAGCCTAATGTAGACAAATCACACAATGAATTGAATTAAGCAACTATAATAGGAGTTATTCCGGGTAGACCATGAGAAAACACCACCACATAAAATGTCAAACTTAATCATTCCCCTCTTAGATGCCCATCATCTCCACTACGAGAGACTCTTCTCATAAGAGACATACAACGGATTCTCCTCCACCCAAACGTTATGCCACAACCTAAATCTAATACCACCCCTACCACTTTGGTACAAAAAGATGTAAATCAACATGACAATCTAATACCACCCCTACCATTTTGGTACAAAAAGAGGTAAATCAACATGACAGATACTTAGGACAAAGAAAAAAACCCCTCTTCACAAAAAAGAAGGCAGATATCTGTCTGCTCTCCTGCTTACCACACAACAAGGAACCATTTATTTAAGAGTCATATAAGAAATAATGATAATCTTTTACAAAAACAATCTATCCTCAAACATCCTCCATCTCTAGATATTTAATTGAGACAAATTAATGAACCTCAAATCCTTGACCCCTTAAAAAAATTTAATATTGACACTTTCGATATAATTTTAATACAAGAAATTACAATACATTCCTTAAAGTCTACTAAAATCATACTTACACCATCTTTGCTTTTAAAAGATACAACTACTTCCTATAAAATATCAATAAATAGATAAACACTTTCATTTTTTATTAACATGCTAAATTTTTTTTTATATTTATACCTACGATTTTTTTATTACTATAACTACAACTTTTGCTGGTATATATATCTCTAACGAAATGGAATGATTAACTAGATGAAGTAATTAATGAGAGTAATTAACATGCCTGCCAACCAGCTTCAATGGTATTGAGATCTTCTCCAAATGAACCAGCTATGACCCATATTTGAGACAAACTGAATTCATATTGACTTTCCACTTGTGGGTCCCACACGTTTATGCCAGCCTTTGCTCCATAGTATTCATTTCCACTCACATACCCAACTGCATGCTATGCAACAATAACAAAGAAAGAACATTGAAGCACATACATTAATAAAATATATATTTATTTAAACTAAAAAATCATTTAAAAAAAGTTAAAGTTAACTACCGTATGTAAGAAAAAAAACACAAAAACTATAAAATAAAATAAATCATGAGACCAAAATTTCAAGTTTACGCTGTTTACAGTGATGGCATAATTCTACCTCATGTCCATCGCCAGTGGTGTCCCTTCCAACACGTTTTAGTTTTCTTCCAAATGTGCTAATAGAGCAACCTCTTAACATGTCTTGTTCTTTTATTCTTCTTATAGGAATTGTTCCTTCCGGACACGATTCACCCGATAAACTCCATAGTTGAAAATTGTCGCTAAAATTATCGAGTCGTTTTTGTCCTCTTGGTTTATCAGGAGGAACCTGTGAGTTAAAAAGTAAAAATACATATAAATTTAAAAGATATTTTTAAATTTTCTTATCGAAAAACAACACATTACCAATGGTTTTTGTCCTTTCAATAGAGGATGATCAAAAGCTGGTTGTTTATGAGACGGAACACAATCTATAACATCACCGTCAAAACTCTGGAGAGAAAAAAAACACAAACATATGAATATGTCTCAAAAAGTTTAAGGAAATATATTTTGACATACATGAATTGTCTTAACAGCGGGCTTGTTGATCTGCCGAAGATGAATATTTACATTGTTCTTCAACTTGTGAAACTCTTTCTCTGGTAGAAAAGTTTGATTTTGACCACTTTTTTCTGAAGAATAAACATGACAAATCAAAGAAACAAGAAGAAGAAAATGTAGGAGGAAGGAAATGATTGGAGTGTTCCTAGATATTGGTTTTCTCCATGGAAACATGTACATTCCCATATCTATCAAACATAAATATATGAATAGTATTTGTAAGACAACTTAATCAAGAAAATATTCCCTCTCTTTCTTGAGTACTTATATCATATATGCTATATGAATTGCAAAGATAAGGAATCTCTTTTATATCAACAAAAAAAAGGGTTTATTATTGAAAATCTTTAAACACTTGAATACAAAATATAATATAGAATATAATAAAAATACCAAATTAATTAATGTTTTATTATTTAGTAATAAAATATTAAATGAAAAAGTAAAATGCATCTGGACTACTCTAATTTTTGTATTCCTAAAACTATTTTTTATTTCATTAAAGAATTTATCGGGTATGGATAGGTGTCATAGGTAAAATATGCAATAAAGTTATAAAGTTATAAATATATTAATTAAAATAAGGAAATGAAAGCCATCGACATAAAAACTGTAGACTTGTCTACTCTTTAAATTAATGGGTCAATGAACCATTAGATATATGTGTAATATGTTTTTAAATTTGTAGTATATATAAAAAATTTATCATTTAAAAAATATTATACAAGTGTCACATCTATACTATAATTTTCTCAAATAATTATTTAAAATGTTGATTTTGATTTGCCATATTTAAAAATAATTATTTTATAAGTATCAGGCTTTCTAAATATTTATATTAATAGTTATTTTATTTATCGGTATGAAAAATACTTTATGCAATACTTATTAATATTAATACGAGTGAAAACTAATTTTGGTCCTCATAAAATCGGCAGAACTTAGATTTGTTTTGGGGAATTTAATGTCCAAATTAATAGTTAAGGTGTAATCTTTCTCAAATTTACTTCCACTTGACGCAAAGTATAAAGTCAGTTCACACGGAAAGTAAGATATATTTTTTAATATTCACTTTTCACTACACATTTTAAATGTTAAATTGATTTGAGCATTGAAGTGTTAACTTTACTGGTCCTCTTTAACACCCATATATAATATATGTCTAAAATATACATATTATACATAATTGTAAAGTTGGTATTCAAATACATACGTTTCTAATGGCAACATTGTACATATTACATGGCCAAAATAAACAGCTAACAATGGAACAGTATATACAAGGGTGCCCCAACAAAATAAAAACTAAGAACTAGATCATTGCAAGATGATCTTCAAAATAACTTCACATTGGATGCACCATCAAAATATCAAACGACACAAGGGCATCAGGCTAATTTGTCCTTACCCTTCACCGAATCAGAAGTACTTGAAAATAATCAACATATGGGGTGAGATAATAATCTCAGTGGGTTCCCTATCTTATGGATTCTCTCGGCTCTACAAGGTCCTAAAAAGTTTACCAGCTAAAGTCACAATAGGGGAAAAGAGTTGAATTCACCATTCTTACACTATATGAAAACGTGTTGCTTGAGTTCACCAACTCAAACTATCACTAATCGAAAACTATACCAATGCATCTTTCTCCGGCCAACCCTACGTCTAGAGTTATCGATATTGGTCACAGATTCTTGTTACATACTTTGACATGCGCAAGGATTTTGAATTCTCCTGAAATACCAGCAGAAATAAGATAAGAAGGAAAATGTTTTTCCACCCACCCCAAATAAGATTCATTCACAAAAAATACCAACATATAACACAACATTTCATCACAATCATCATAAATAACAACACACTCATAAGATTTTCATGGTATTGGAAGAATCACATATAAACAATTCCATTTCTATCTCAAAACCTAACATTCCTAATTCTACAACTTATGATTTCTATATAGAATCCACCTTGCAATGATGAAGAAGAAATTTTTGTATGATCTAGATGAATGATGTTGATGATGGATGATGAAAATCTCCATTTTTCTCTTCTTCCCTTAGGTTTTCTTCTTTCTCCTATTTCTTTTCCGCTTTCTCTCTACTCTTCCTTTCTATCTTTTTCTTCTAACCTTTTTCCCACAAAGTTGAAAACCAATATGATGCATAGAGATATCATTTGGAAAGTTAGTAAGAGTAACACATATGGTCATGATGCGGGTATAACACTTGTGGTAGAAAATGATAACTTTAGTAGTAACATAAATATTAAGTGGTACAATGCTTAATATTTGTTTTACTAAAGTAACTAACTCATTATTAATGTTATCGAAATGACTCTATTGTACCAATTAATAAAATATCAGTATTGAATAATATTAATTAAGTCAATCTAAGCTCACTAGTTACTCTAATTATCCAAAATGATAACTCTCAGAGCACATAGGAACTCAGTTGATCTCAAATGATATTATTTAGAGTATTTTAGAAAATACGGGTATTACATCCTCCCCCCTTAAATAAAAAATTCATCCTCGATTTTAAAAATTACCTAAAAAAGGTGAGGGTAAGCTTCCTGCATCTCCGACTCAAGTCCCCAAGCAGCATCACCCGGATGTCATATGTTCCACTAAACCCTAACAAGTGGAATCTCTTTGTTTCTCAACACTTTGGTTTCTCTTCCTACAATACGACTTTGTTAAGGTTCAAAAGTTAAATCTACTTCTATTTGTCACACCCTAATTTTTAACCCTAAGATTTCACCTCATATGCATCATTTTGCATAGCATACATCATTTCATGTGTGTGAGATTTATGCATTAACTAACCCATTGAGAATACAAGAAGATGTGCTTTGGTTTTGCTTTGATCATAAGATAGGGTTATGGTGTCAAGAATATCAAGAGTTTGACCGGTCAGAGGATTTGGGGATCCTCAACATCTCAAGCCCTAATTCATTCAATATTGTTCAAGGGTCTCCTATCATCAATAATCAAGCACAAGATTGCATTGAATCAAGATCATCAAGCCCTAAGTCATCATATGCATCCAAATTAGGGTTTTGACCTAATTCAGACCATGGGTTGTCTTTTGAAGCAAGGCATGATCCAACACCTCAATATATGTTTCAAGGACCTAAAATACATCATATCAGTCCATTCACATTATTGGATTGATCTAAGAAGTTTGATTTATGAGAAATGGAAGAAATCAGATTCATTTGGAAAAAGTCAACTATTAATCGAAATCAAGTTTGACTTTTGAGATTTTTGGTCAAACATGGACTCCACAAGTCAAGGATCATGAATATATGTGACTTGGATCATGATCAATGAATAAAAATCGAAGAAAACATCAAAGGATTCAAAGTTGTGAAAACTATGGTTTTGAAATTTTTCTAAGTTACAAAATTCTATGACAAATGACCTACTTTCCAAGGTTATAAGTTCTTCTTCAAGCATCCAATGGAAACACTTGAGAGCTACTTTAAAATAGGGCATTTGATGCTACAAGTTGTTGAAAATTTCAGGCTAAAAGCTTTCTTGGAGTGGAAGATATTGATGTGAAAAGTTGGAGTTTCAAGTTGTTTGAGAAATCCAAAATACTTAGAAAAATTTCTAGGTTTTTGACATGGTCAAATGCATGAATTTATGGACTTCTTGTGAAAATCTCAAGACACCTCTTTAGATTATCTTTGGCTGCAATTAAAATTCACTGATTGTGAGTCGAGATACTAAATGCTAGAGAAAATATGTTGTGCACTCGCTTGGGCTGCTAAACGTTTGAGGCAGTACATGTTAAACCACATAACCCTATTGATTTTGAAGATGGATGTGATCAAGTATGTCTTTGAAAAACAGGCACTCTCCGGAAGGATTTCCCAATGGAAAATGGTTTTAACAGAGTATAATATTTAGTATGTTTCCCAAAAAGCTATTAAGGGAAGCGTTATGTCAGAATATCTTACTGAACAACCGATTGAGGATTATCAGCCAATGAAGTTTGAACTTTCAGATGAAGACGTCATGTTTTTGAAGATGAAAGATTATGGTGAGCCTTTACCTGATGAGGGTCCTGAGGTTGGATCTCAGTGGAAACTGGTTTTTGACGACGCTGTTAATTCATATGGTAATGGAATCGGAGAAATCATTACTACTCCTCACAGTTCTCATATACTGTTCAGTGCCCGATTGACGTTTGTTTTCATAAATAATAAAGCTGAATACGAAGCGTGCATTATGGGTTTAGAAGAGGCCATTGATCTGAGGATCAAAAATCTTGATGTATTAGGTGATTCAGCGTTGGTGGTTAATCAGATTAAAGAAGAGTGCGAAACTCGTCAGGCTAACTTGGTTCCTTACAAGAACTATGCAAGAAGATTGCTACCATTATTTGATAGAGTTGAGTTCCATCATGTGCCTAGGGCTGAGAATCAGATGGCGGACGCCTTGGCCACGTTATCGTCGATGTACAAAGTGAATTTCTAGAATGAAGCTCCAGCTATCACCATCATGCGTCTTGATAGACCTGCCTTTGTGTTTGCAATGGAAAAGGTATCAGATGGAAAGCCTTGGTATTTTGATATCAATCATTTTCTCAAGACTCAGGAGTACCCACCTGGGGTATCAAGCAAAGACAAGAAGACTCTAAGGAGGCTTTCCGGTAAATTCTTTTTGAACAAGGATGATGTGTTATATAGGAGAAACTTCGATATGGTCTTGTTATGTTGTGTTGATGAACATGAAGCAAGCATGTTGATGGAGGAAGTCCACGAGGGTTCTTTCGGTACTCGTGCCGGTGTACATGCAACGACCATAAAATTGTTGAGAGTTGGGTATTATTGGATGACTATGGAATCTGATTGCTTTAAATACGCTAGAAAATGCCATAAATTCTAGATTTATACTGATAAGGTGCATGTGCCACCGACCCCTCTGAACATGTTGACATCTCCTTGGCCCTTTGCTATGTGGGGCATCGATATGATTGGAAAGATTGAGCCGACTACTTCCAATGGGCATCGCTTCATTCTGGTTGTCATTGATTACTTTACGAAGTTGGTAGAAGCAACTTACTTTGCTAATGTCACGAAACATGTGGTAGCCCGATTCATAAAGAAGGACATCATTTATCGTTATGGGATCCCAGAGAGAATCATTATTGATGATGGTTCAAATTTGAACAACAAGA